ATATATAGTTACATTCTCTTAATGAATAGAGGGATTTGTTCTAATGGTGTTTGTAAATAGGATATCATGTCTGCATCTTGTATAGCAATTAACCACTAGGAAGAAAGTATGCAGTGTGTTAATTATTGAAACTGTCCTACCAGTTTGGTTTGGAACTGTCTCATTGCTGTTTGTTTCTGAATAAAATTATGGAAAAAAAATAAAATTAAAGCAGATTCTAATTGTCTTGACTATAGGTTGTGGTTCAGTCAAAACATGATTTGTTTCTGATAAGTTATTTTTAAGTTTTTATATAAAATTAAATCAGATACTAATTTTTTTGAGGTTGAGGTTAAGTGAACGGATCATTTGATTCTTATAAAGGTTGTTTTCAGGAAGTATAGATAACTTTATGCTTCATAAACTGTTCTTTGTGCTTATGTCAATTTTTGAGATATTACAACAGCGCATTTGAATAATGTAAGTGGCAGTGTCAGATTTTCTGTGACTTCTCTGTAGCAATTTCTTGAGTAACCCAGTGCACCTAGAAATTATCTTAAAACCTGTATTAACTTTTTTTTTATATTTTATTTTTTTGATATGGGAGAGCAAGGCTTAAAGTTCCTTCTAATGAGTCTGGTTTCTTGAGACTAGTGTATAGCTTTATTTTTTGGAATAGGCCTTCCAAAGTTTAAGGCATTAGTTTTTAGAAAACTCTTCTTAAATATTGAGCTGCTAAACACCTATAGAGGCAGATAATAAGGCAAGAAATTGAAACAGTCTGTTAATCACATTGGTAGTATAAAACAAATCATCTGAAATTATAGTTAAGTAATAAATACAAACAAGGCAAAAATCCAAATTCCAGAATTCAGATATACAAAGATATATTTTGACTAAAAAACAACAAAACAATGTTTATTGTAGACTAATTCCAAATGTGAGGAAATCTCAAAGGAACTAGCTTCTGTCAGTTTAAGAACATTAAAATCTAAATGAACGTATGTTAACCTACAGTCCATAAATGACCTACACGTGAATCTATAAACTCTAGGATATGTATATAGTTTTATGTGTATGAGCAGTGTCCTGAAAAGAGAGACTATAGCTTTCACCAATTTTTCAAATGAATCTATTCTCTGAAAAAAGTTTTAGATCTTCCTTGTCAATATCAGTTGGCATGGTACTTGAATGAGGTTTTTTCTGAACAGTTATGACAGTTTTTTATTAACTCATTTTGTCATAGTCATGTCCCTTGTCACTGAGACACAATATCAGACACTCACAACATAAAGGAGTTTAAGTTGGGCTCCAGGGGGCTTATCTGGGCTCACATTTTTAATTCATATTTGGACAGTTTCAGAGAAGATACAGCTTGATGGAAGGACCTGGGGAAGAAAGCTGGTCACATCATGGTAGCCAGGAAATAAGGAGAAAAGGAGCTGAGAAAGGAGATTCACTGTCTGGGTCACACCCATTGTGTCCCACCTCTTCCAACCAGGCCCCGCCACCTAACAGCAAGTCAGGTGTGATGCTTGTATAATCCCGTCCCCTTCCACAAGCCATACCTCTGTGAGCATAGGCTTTGTGGGGACATCAACATATAAACTATAATAAGCTTCTAGGAACTTGCATCCAGATTTTTAAAGATTAAGCCAAGTGAAGGCAGTGTTAATAATTTTAGCAGTTGTATTTATATAAAATCTACTCTTCTTAGAAGGTGTTGGGGGGCCGGGGAGATGACTTAGTGGAATAAGTGCTTCCCTGGCAAGCGCAAGGGCCTGAGTTCAATCCTCGGTCCCCCCCCCCAAAAAAAAAGGTGTTGGTTCATTATGTTTCACTACCATTAACAACTGTATTAACAAGCTGAGGTACCTATTGTGATCTGTAGTTCCTATGATTGTAATGTTAAGCAGTATTTTTTTTTTCCTTTTCATTTGGTGCATTTACCAGTGAGTATAGCGGATCCTGCTGCCCTCGGCTTCATCATTTCCCCATGGTCCCTGCTGCTGCTGCCGTCTGGTAGTGTGTCCTTTACAGATGAAAACATTTCTAATCAGGATCTTCGGGCATTCACTGCACCAGAAGTTCTTCAGAATCAATCACTAACTTCTCTCTCAGATGTTGAAAAGGTAACTGTTAAATTTTTTATTAATTTTGTTTTTTACCTTATCCCAGCCCCCTGAAAAAAATACATTGAATATAAAGTGAATGTATGGGGCAGGGGAGATTTCTCAGTAGAATAAACACTTCCCTGGGAAGTGCAAGGGCCTGACTTCAAGTTCCCTGATTCCTCAAAAAAAAAAAAAAAAAAAAAGAAGTGAATATGTATTCCAAGAATGTCATATTTACTTTTCTTAAGAAAATTCAAAATAGTTCTGTAAAAGCTTATAGCACTGAGAAAAATAGCTTAAAAGTGAGCCACTATTAATTTATATTTGTGCATATAAAATGCTTGCTTTGTATAAACCTGCTTATTAGGAAGATACAAACATAACTTGAAACAAAAATCACTTCCCTTCTTTGAAACAAAGCAAACTTTTTAAAATGTGATTTTTGTTCATTAAAAATTGGAGAAAATTCCAGGGTCCCCCGCCACAGTTCCACTGAGAAGTGAGCAGTTGGAACTCAAATTTTTGAAAATATTTAGGAAAAAAGAAAATTGGCTTTTTGTCAATTGGCAAGCATTCTTGTGGTGTTCTGTTTTGGTTGGAACATGTTATGTTGCATGTATGTGTACATGGACCAGAGTCTGCTGAGTTTTATAAGGTTCAGAAAAGATGGTTGGGAAAGTCTTGACTTTTGTTAATTTATCTCAATAAAAGCCCACTGGAGAGAGAGAGAGAGAGCACGCACAAGCGCATGAGCGAGCGTGCCCTGATTATTATATATATAGAATACCCTATAATATATATCTAATTTATATAAATAAAAGATTTATCTGTGATACATGAAAGGTTAAAAATACTAAAGGGATAAAGTGTTTTGAGATTATGCAAAAAATTAATTTTTAGCATAGAATAATTTTATAGAGATAGTAGCATTCTCAGTTATCCAAATTCTACTTATTCTCAATACTCTTAAGAATAAGTAGAACAATGAATAGCCACTAAGACAACAATATGCAATATATTAATTATTGAAACTGTGCTAGTAATCGGTTTTGAAGCTGTCTCATTGCTATTTGCTTCTTAACAAAATTATTTTTAAAAAAAGAGGAAGTAGAATTTATATAAGTGTAAATTTCTAGGAAGGACATTCCACTCAGTATTATTAGTTTGCACAGTGACAAGAGGCAAGATCGTCCACTGTGGTTGGGAATGGCCCCAGACCAGCTAGGATAGCACTTTAGCTGTCTAAAGGGCTGAAGTTACAGAAACAGAGGTGCAGGGCAACATGAAAAAAGTTTAGAATACCAGAAGCTGAATCTTTCTTCTGAGGCAACCAGAATCTGTTGTACTTTTAGGACTGTGATACAGTGGGATTTGTGATTTTGGAGGTGAAGCCTGACAAAAGCAGGTAGAGATTACAAGATTTCACACGAGTCTAACTGGGGAGTTTTAATAATCTGGAGAGAACTGAAAGTAGTGTAATGCCTTGGGAATATAAAAAATGGATGAAGGAGATATAGTGGACACAAAAGTGGTGGAGTTTGACAGTTCATTTGATGGAACAATGCCAATGATGAGAAAATTTATGATAGAAAGTCAATCTGACAATTGTAATATCAGTGACTTCAAAAATATCAGTGTGCACATTTTATATTTTCATACATATTGCCTAGTTGCCATCTAAAAGAATTGTACTGATTTATCTTTCTACTGAGAATCATATTTTACTTTTTGAGAGAATAAATGTGATGATTAAGCTTCTTGATTTGAGCTGTCAACTCTATCTGAAGAAAGACTGATGAGAATTGGTAACACAACTCCAGGCTTCAGTTTATTACATTTTATAGTTCATAAGCTACTTAATGAAAGTTGGGACATACAAACCACCAAATAGAGATAATAGCTGAGGTGGAAACACTGCATAACGCATTAGCCGTAAGAAATTTCCCACTACCTGAGATGAGGTATTTGAAGAGAGCTTTGTGTGCTATAGATTGTGTACAGTGCTGGCCACTGTTACATATCATGAAGGTTTTCAGATGTACTGGTAGTGTTTCTTTAAGCAGAAAAATACATGTAGCTATTAATTTCTGTTGTTAACTACATGGCTTTATTCTGGACACTGCATGATTCATTTAATGGTTTCCTTTTTTTTTTTTTTTTTTTTAATTTT